CCTCAGCCTACGTCGGCAGCGTCAGACTTTGCAGGAGAAACGCGGCTTGAGGCGCAAGGACGGTCCAGGCTGTGGGGCGCAGACCCGGTAAAAGCCTCTCTTTGGTTCCCTCCTCCTTCCCCTCCTTCCGTAGGCTGAGAGCTGCAGCTGAAACAAGTTTGGGGAAGTCCTTTGCAGGCGGCCAGTTCTAGCCGCCTGCAAAGGACTTCCCCACGTTTGCTTTGAAAGAAATCTCTGCGCGGCAGTTAGAAACTGCTGCGTGGGGGTTTCTTGCCATGTGAGCGGCAAGAAATTTTATTTATGAATAAAATTTGATTAACACTGATAATGTAGTGTTTCCCCCTTTTCCTCCATTACCAAAAATTACTTATCAGAAAGTCCTTTTTACCCAATTCAGGTAAAGCTGCATTTTAAATGTCTCTGTTGTGACTGAGTAATGGGTTCAAAGAAAATACATTTTACCAAGTTTTGGATAATTTTCCAGGTTTGGGAAACGCTGACACGAGGAAAAGTAAGGTTAAAAACATATAGGTTTATACCCTTGAGTTTCTATTGTGGACGAGTTTTCTAAAATAATTATTTACTGGGATAGCAACAAACCTGTTTGCATTATGGTAGCTGTAAGACACAGATAAAATGTAGAGGTGGGAAGCAGAGATCCTTAACAATGGAACCAACAAGTCCTGAAGGATAGCTCCAGATTTCAAATCATACTATTTCATTGTCTCATTACAAAACACTAATTTTGTAATGTTCATGTAGTATCTCTTGTCCATCAACGCACATGAGCAACATTCATTTTATTGTGGGCCCAAGCTAAAATTATTCCTCCAGTTCCAAAAGATAGGGCAACCACTGTTAATCTTTTACTAACATTCAGCAACCACGTAGGCTTTTATGGTAAAAAGTCAAAATCTTCTACATGAATTCCTGACTTTCTTTCTATTGTTCCTACCAGGTATAAGCAGATTTCTGATTTACTGCTGCCATTAAAAAAAGAATACCATCTCTTTTTTTCTCTGTAAGTTACCTAATTAAGGCCATGATGGCGAACCTATGGCATGCCAGCTCCGACGTGCATGGACATGTCGGCCAGCTGATTTTTTGCCCTTCCAGAGGGGCAAGGGCACCATTTTTGCCCCCCCCCCCAAAACTTCAGAAAAGTCTCTAGAGACTTGCGAGAGTGAAAAACAGCTCCAATGGGCCAACCAGAAGTTCGGAAATGATCCATTTCCAGGTTCCAGAGAACCTCTGGGGAAGTGGGGGATGCTGTTTTTGCCCTTCCCAGGAAAGCCTCCAGAGCCTGGGGAGGAGTTGCGTGCATGAGCAGAGGATCGCACACGCATGCACAGGTGGACAGGGAGATTGAATTGGCAAGCGCAAGCACAATTTTTGCACTCTGTAAGAAGAAGGTTTGCCATCACTGTAATAAGGCATAGATGGTTCTCACCTAGCAATCTTAATCGGTATCAAAATAATTGATGGTAGGGTTAGGGAATCTAATTCATGGATCAGACATCACTACTATTTGCTCAGGGTTGCTGTATGAATGGTTAAGGGATGATTAACTGGAATTGGGTTTGATCCAAATGCTTGGTTTTCTGGCAGTAGGAAGCCAATAATCTGTCTGCTCTCAAATATTGTTCCAATCAGAAAAGGAGGAAAAAAGAGGAATCCTAGAAGACTTATGTATTATAAAGACAAACTGCTGCCTCCTTTTTTAAAACCCATCTTCTCTCGTGGATATACCTACTGTCACATTTTTTTCCAGATAGACAAGACTCATATATAAAAGCAGCAGCAATAATGGAATACCATATCATACAACTACTCAGGGAGTGGGCATAGAGGGGTTCCTGTAAATAAAGATAAGGTTAAATGCTACTCCTAACTATTTGCTTTGTACAAAGCCATGTATGTATTATTATAACAACAAAACTTTAAACTAAGAAAAATTTGCTAGCAGTCAGAGGTTTTTTAAACAATGGTTTATCTGTACAGCCCTTCCTTTTTGATCTTTTTGATACCTTTCTTCTTAAAGTTTTTTTTTGTCTTAAAATTTCCAGAAAGGTATTTTTTTAAAAATAGGCTTGGATGCATGGTCTAAATTTGTAACCTCTTTCAAAAATCAATCTGGCATCTGGGGATTTTTCAGAAAGATGTAGGGTATGCTTTTTCTGGATGTGCTTTATTTGAAAGATTCAAAACTGGACAGAATGCCAACAATACAAGAAGTAATGCCTCTGTGACATTCCAGACCAGGAAAAATGTCCATAAGCTTAGTAAAAGAATTTCCTACAAATTTTGATTTTGAAATGAGCTAGACTTGCTTAACTGGTTTAATGGCACTTTGGACAAAATATATTTTTTGAATTTTTTTTAAAAAATTGTATTTTTGGAAAAGGTTATCATGCACTGAGACTATTAGATCAAAGCTTTTAAAAAATCACTTTCAAGAAAATACACAGGTAGTAATGTTTTTTTACTTTAACCAGAAATATCAATTTAATTATTTTTCTTTAGGTACACTGAGCATATACACGAAAGACAATTTCCTTGTGTGTTCATTCACTCTTGGTCAATAAAGAATTCTATTCTATTTAACTGACCTAGCAATGAGAGCGGCTTTTCCAAAGAGCCTAGGAAACCTTAAAATATGGGATGATAAAAATCAAACAGTCTGATAACATAACAAGAACTAAAACTGCAATTTGAAAAATCTCCCTTGTTTTATAGAATGACAGCTTTAAATAATGATACATTGGGAAAAGATATTGAAACTGCCTAAGAAAAAAAAAGTTTTAGATAGTTAACTGCCAAAATTTAACAAGTTAAAAGGAATCTTTCCACAGAGATGGTGTGATCATAATCGCAGTTGCTGCTTTGTAAATTGTTTGTGCCAGGGTGATCCTTACCCTACTTTCTCTGTGCCTCCCCCTCTCTCTATCACACACACACACACACACATACCCCTATATTGATTTTTGTTGTTTTAAATTTCTTCTGTTTTCTTTCTGATGTTAAGGAAAAAAGGGCAAAATAGAATTGTAGATTTTAAAAAACAATGTATTTATAAATACTTCATACACCTCTCAAATATATTTAAAACCTATATTCATGAATCCAAGTATCACACAATAAACGTGACACGTTTCTACATCATTCAAGAGAGAATGGCATAGCATATACAGAAGTGTTCTATAACAATACTGTGTTTAACTCAGTGTTTAGCTCAATACATCAACTTAAGCTGTATTGACAGACTTCTGGAATTCTCCAGCTAGAGTTGAAGTCCACCCATTGCCAAGACTGAAAAACAATGGTTTAGCCTATCAATTATGGTTGTCTCTCAACCGGCTGCTAGACTTCAAAGAATATCAGTCCCTAGTTTAAGCTGCATATTTACCTGAATAGCTTGGCGGCCCTGTTGTGCATCTGCTAGCAGCTGAATAGTAAGAGTTCTGGAGTCCTGCAAAGCTTCTTGGAGGTAGATAAAGCTATGGCCGACATGGCGTCCCATGGTGCATTCCCGACAAATGGGAACAGAACAAGCATCACAGTAGAAATGCAGCACCTGAGACAGAGAGAGTATTGAATAGAAGATGTAAGATTTTTTTAAAGCCATTTCTTAATTGGGCAATTTGTAAAGTACACTGCAAAGGGGACAATAGAAGTTCCTTTTTGTTTTAATTCAAGGTATGAGAATAACATTTTTCTTTTGGTTATATCTTTCTTTATAAACCATTTATTTTGAAGTGCCATTAGATTTATATAATTCCTTCCAGTTAAACTCTTAATTTACTGTTTATTTAGATAAAATGTTAGTTAACTACCCTAAAACAGACTCCAGTGAACTTTCCCAAAATATTGTGTCAAGGGATTAACTGATTTATTCATCAGTGAACTACAAAGCTCTTTTCACATTTCATCCAGCAGAGGGAAGCAACAGAGAGCTGGGAGTGCTTCTCATTTAGGTTTAAAAAAAACACAAATCTCAGTGTTTACACCATCTTTTATTGTTCCAGAACAGTTTGATATGTTTATCTCTGTAGAACACAAGTAGTTCAAATTACAAGAAATGTAATACTTTAATTGTGTTCTATAATTATGTAAAATGGTGTGGCATTCATTGTTCTTATTTTTTTAAAATATCCTCATTCATTATTCTGTAAAACTAACCATGATATTAAAATATTCCAATTTAACAACTCAAATCAATGTCTAACAATCAATCAACAAAAATCATGAGTTTCGGCATTAATAAAACTATATATTTGTAATGAATTCCATGAATCTGTAGAGTCAGAAATAACTGAGAGTTACTATTACCTGGGATCCCATAATATTCAACATTTGTTCTTTGGCAGAGCATAGCAGCATCATTTTTATTTGCTATCTGATTGCATTTTATTTCCAAATGTAAGTGTGCTCTTTAAAAAAATCCTACACAGAAAAAAAAAATCCTAAAAGCACAGAAAGAAGTTCATGTAGGTCATCAGTATAATATCAATCGTGGTGGTAGTTAGAAACACCAGAAAGAAAATGGTGTCAATATGAGCAAGAACTCTGCTTCAAACTAAACCTACTATTAACCCTCTGAAACAGTTAATGCCAGAAGCAAAGCTAAAAGTCCAGAGAGCAGTGCTGTCATAAAGATCCAGATGCTACTTTCCACAGGGATACAATGTAGGAGTCAGTGTGCACACTAACCACAAAAGAAAGGAAAAAGTAATGAAAAAAAAATTAATAGATCGTTAAAGAAAGCCTCTAGCTGAGCTGACTGCAGCTTAAAAATGGCTTGGTAGCAGTGGGAACTACCTAATGACAAACAAATCATCTTTATTATAGAATATAGAATTGATATGCAAAACATGTTTTTAGTGTTTTGAGAATACAACTGGTTTAACAAGTGAAATTGCAAACATTTTGACCCAAACACTATGTTGTCAGAAGAATGATTAATGAAATGAAGAGCTACTCTTTCCTCTCACTAGCTGTGCTAACAGATGCTGATGTTAAGATAAGGTGAAGTAAAAGATCATCTTTAGATTGCCTTTGTCATCTTCAAACTGGTTGGTATATTTTTAGTAGCATCTCTCTATTATTAAAGAAAATAATAATATCTCCATCTGTAGTGGTGTTCTCTTCTGTTAGTCCTTGAATTACAACTGTAATGGCAGAGGTGGGGAGTTTAGTTTTAGCACCTAATTTTGGAGGAGAGTTTGAGGGAGAAAGAAAGTCTTTCCCTTCCAGCTTTGTTTTCTTTATTGAAGAAATATGGTTTTGGGGGAAGGGAGGGGAGTTAAAGGAATGGAAAGCTTTTGCGAAACTCATCCTGAAGCTGCTGCCTTAGCATACAGAGACTGGTTTTCCAAAGCCTACAAGAGCCAGAGGTTTGCAACTAATCTGGGCAGAAAGCTCTGAAAGCACCCTCCATTTCCTGTACAAAATGACCAAAGCAAATGGTGGTTGCTTCCAGGGGGCATGGGTACCAGGCCCAAGGATTGAGGTTGTGTCATGGTGGGAGAAGAAGAGAGGTGCAGCATCTTCATAATCTGTTTTATGGGCGAATGACCATAGGAGCGATGCAGCAATTGTAATTTTGAAAGAGGACCATATATGTCGTTTTGAGGTGTCTGTAATAACTTTGAACTAACCTGTCTTATCTACCAATACTACCAATACTGTCCTTTGTCAATATGGCCCTAACCAGTGGGCAGAACCAGTGACATGAGATGATAGGAATTATAGTCCAAAGTGTCTGCAAGGTACCAGTTTTACAGTTGCACCTGTCTACAATGACATAACAAACTTCTGTCCTTTCTTGCCTTTGTTCAATATACTTCCATAGTTGGGTGATGGTAATGGTTGTGTAATAATACTTAATGATACTTAACTACTTCTTATGTTTAAAAGCATGAAATATCTAACTGGCTATTGTCCTATAAAAATGTATCCCATCTATCTGTGGTATAATACTAGTTATTAGTACAATTCTAAGTGCTTGCCAACACTTCTCCCAGCTGTTCCTCGCCATGTCCTCTGACTAAGAATGTGCAGTTCCACATAGACTGACAGCAGCTTTTCATCCACAAAAAGGAATCCTACCTAACTGGCATTTTGTTCTGCCTAACAGCATTCTCTCAACTGGTCACTTTTCCAGTTCGGTTAACCATAGTTTATGAAATAAATTACAACAGTGGATATTTATTCATTATTTAAAATGTGCTATGTGTCAATTGCTAACTGGATTGTACCATCTCTGCAACTGGATTTGTTGCAGAGATGAGCAAACCAAGCTCTATTCACAATACAATATCTTTCCAGCAGAAAACTAATTCTGCATCTTAAGAGTATTCCAAGATTATCCAAACATTTGCAAGGAACCTTTAAGAAAATAATGGTAGATTCTGATTAGAAGGTGAATTTACACTCTCATAAGCAATATGCTACTTTTCTATGTCCTGGCCAAACTGTTGTGGTTGTTGTTATTCACAGAAAATAAGATAATAATTAGGTATGACATTTGGTAGCATTTCTGGTGCTAAGTGAGACAGTTGTTAAGTGAGTTTTGCCCCATTTAAAAACTTTTCTTGCCATAGTTAAATGAATCACAGTAGTTATTATGTTAGCAACAAAATTGTAAAGTGGCTTTCCCAGGGACACTGCAACTGTCACAAATATGAAGCAATTGCCAAGCGTCTGAATTTTGATCATATGAGCATGTGAAAAACAGTCATACGTCAGTTTTTTCAGTGTTGTAACTGCAGTCACTGTATGAATTGTTGTAAGTTAAGGACTGCCTGTAGCAGTAATCCTATGGCTGTAGACAAGATTGTCATGTCAAACAAAATCCCCCCCCCCCAAGACAACGAGAAACCCATTTGTACTAGATGTCGCCATACTGCTACTAGGAATCAAACTGTTTGGAATGCAAAAGAATGACATTTTTAGGGATAGGTTGTGGGAAAGACATACCGTAATAGTTACATTATAATATCGGGACAGCAGAAAAACAAGAACTGCTACATGCATGAAGCCCACTTATTTGTTTAAAGGCTGGTTTTAACTAAAAACTCCACTTTGCAGGTCATTCATGGAACATTCCTAAACCTGACCTCCAGATGATATTGGTCCATCTAGTCAATGTCTACTTAGTTACTAATGTTAAAAACAACAACAACAACAACAACAAAAAGCAAAACTAGACACAGAAATGGAGACCAAAGGCTCAAATCCTAAAATGCAAATATTGGAAATAATCTGGAATTACACTAAAATAGTTAAACAAATAGTTCATTTCATTATGATAGAAAATATATAAAATAGAATAGCATTTCAGATTTCCTGATGCAGATTAAGTATTTCAAAACCAAACGTAGCTTTTTAAAGATCATTATCAGAAGCAGTAATAGGACTTAATGACAAAAAAATAGTGTGTATTTGTGCTAAGAATTATTTGCAAATGCTAAAGCTATTTGAATTCAAGACTTGCATTAATGCCCATTTCCTCAGCTAGGAGGAAATGTTCTTTGAATTAGTCATGTGCATTCAAACAAACAAACAAACTCTGCCTAAAGGAACCTGCTACTTTTTCCAAAGCCTTAGGGCATATCACATGGGGCTATTCATCTTTTACAGCCGCAGCAGGCAAAGGAGTACCAGAGCAAGGCTATAAAGTTGATTGCTCTAGGATAGGGCTTTACAGTGCATAGTAAAACAAAAAACATGAATGTCCAAGTGTCATACTCTCTTTTTGGCCCATCTGCTTTCAAAGAGCTAGGAGGGGGATGGGTAAGTAAAATGTCTCCAAGGATTGCATAGCAATCAACCAACATCTGATGAATGGCCACTAGAGTTAAACTCTGACCTGAATGGACAATTCCTAAACCAGTTACCCTCCCCCACGTTGTCCCCAATATGCCCCACCTACCTGCCTCCTCTTTACAAACGTTTTAAGTACCAGGCACAATTAACAAAAGCAATGGAATGTGGATGCAGTTTCCACCGAAAGCTGCAATGCAAAAAACAAAAACAAAATCCCCCACAAAAAAGCCAGATTCATTGGGAAGCCAATGGAGACTTATAGCTTAATTGTACTACTTTGCCTTATTATTCACATATGGACATAAGAAAAGAAAGGGCTTGATTGTTTTGCTGTGATTAAGATGACAGAAAAGAGTATGAATAGTTACTAACACTTCCAAACATGGATTTCAAATGGAATGAAAGACATGAGAATAAATGATAAAAATGTATAATATTGTGTGGACTTGTAGCACCACAGAATCTATTTCCTGTATTTTTTTAAAATAGGGATATTAGAATATGTCTTACTTTCCCTTTTCTAGTGAAATATTCAAATCTTTGATATTTCTATATACAAATCTTATTTTGATTGAAATGGACTTTGCCTCCCTTGGATGTTGCCAAATTTTAAAATGCTGGCAGCAATAAAGAATCAACTAACACCTCTACAACTCTGAATATAGATTTACTTTTTGCCTACTTTTGTCTTAATTTTTTGTGTCATAATATTAAGTGACCAAGACAAATAATATTCCAATTCTAGCT